ACCTACCCAGATATTGTTGCAGACCATGTGCTCCCATTCATGGCAATGGTTTTCCTTGATGGCAGTGGCCTCTTTCAGCAAGATAATGTTCCTTGTGTACTGCAAAAATTATTCAGGAATGGAATCGGCAACATGACAAAGAGTTCAAAGGTGTTGCCTTGGTCTCCAAATCCCACAGATCTCAATCTGATTGAGCGTCTGTGGGATGTGCAGGAACAACAAATCCGGATGCTTTCCCTCGCAACTTGCAGAAATGAAAGGATCTGCTGCTAATGACCGATACCACAGGTGCCGTTTAGAGGTCTTGTGGAGTCCATGCCTCAGCGTACTAATGCTGCATAAGGAGAACCTTTACAATATTAGACAGGTTGTTTTAATCTGGTTGATCAGTGTATAATTTCTAATCCGGACAGCAAGCAATTTACAGGCCAGATATAGCACAAAATGCATTAGCCAAATAGCCAGTATTTCTTAATAGTATCGAAATATGGAATATACCAGCCGCAGATAAATAAAAAAATATATAGTAACTTCCTCAGTTTCAAACTAGTAAAACAATAAACAAAAAATTGTCAAACAATCAGGGGAAATACCAACCCCATGACAGATTTTTAAGGGAATTTCTTTTCTTGTTTTTCATAAAATTTCTTGCCCTTGACATGATACTACCTTCATATAGTAGTATTTTAGTGTCAATATTTTAATTTATTAAACTAAATATTGGAAACTACTTGTTCAAGTCTATGAAAAGTGTCATCTTCATTGAGTTTTCCATTTAAAAAAATCTTTTAATAAAAGATGTGCTGACTCCTGTGAACTGCACTGTGGTTGGTTTGGATCAAGCATAGGCAATAAAATTTCAGGGGATGTCCCAGTGAGTGTTGTAAGGACTATGCAAGCATACAATTAGGGCATTCTCTAGTTTTCAAGTTTACCATGGACTCTTGGCGTAGAGATATTACGTATGTAACTAAACAGTTCCAATCTCATCACCTGAGAAGAACGAAAGGTTGAGTTGACTATGTAAACCTAATGTTTGAGCAGGTTCTGCAGTTTCTGAATAAAACCCAGGATTTAGGGGTTACCCTACTTTATTCTAATAAGTATGTTAGGAAAACATGACCTTTTATGATCCTTTACGACTTCCTTCAGACGTACTGCATAAGTCAACTGTCTCAGTTGGTAGTAAAGTTGTGCAAATTGAAGGTTGTGATTTTTTTCTATGGCTTTCCATACATTGTAAATACATTAGTTTATCAAGATCAACAAAACCCTTATTGTATAACATAATTAACATAAAAGGTCAGGGAGAGTGTGTTAGGTTGGGAATAAATATAGTATGGTTTGGGAGGGCTAGCTTCAGGATACCTGAGCAGATGTGTCCACCATGAGCTCCATATGAAATAACATTTAACCAAGCTTTTACGCAGTAATTCTACAGCAATACTGATATCAACAGCTGCCACTTACCTTTCTCAACCTGGAGAAGTGGAATAATACCACGGTATGCGGCTTCCAAGATACTGGGGACTTACTACTCAAGGGGAACACCATGTGGAGCACCCAATATTATCGCGTCAGCTGTGGTGTCTTCCTCCAAGGAGGAACTTTCCTTGGATACCCTCAATGAGTTACCAAGGAGGAGGGCCTACACCATCTCTCATCGGATGAGGAGGCTGATATGCCATCCACCAAGAGGGATATTACATCCCTATTGAAAGACATGCGATCTCTGTTCCAAGCTGATCTGGCACAAGTTCAGGAGGACATAACTTCCATGACAGGCAGAATCAGGGCGAAGGAGGAGGATGTCCTCAAACTCAAGACTAAGCTGGTTGCAATGCAAGATTCCAATGATAAGTTATTACAGGCTAAGGGCAACGTGGTGGTGAATCAGGAGCATAAGAGTCATTGTCAGTGTAAATTAGTGCTACATGTGGAGAAAATTATGTGATTAAGCTTCAGTGTTATCCCCTATATAAACAACAGTGTGTCCATTGTAATTTTGAACATCACCTGAGGAAGACCACTAGCAGATGGTTGAAATGTGTTGTGCAATTTTTTACTTTTGTTTTATGGAAAATAAATCTTTTATCTATATATTCTGATACTCCTGGCTCCTGACTCCAACTTTCCACTAGATGGTTATCTCAACAACTGGAGAATTCGCTTGAAGGGAGGAGGAAATCCTTATGTCCTATTAAGTGACATAAAAGCTGTATAAGTCCCGAGCCTACTTCTAAACGGCTCAGAAAAGTGTGAGTGATTTCAGCTCAAAATTCCCACTTTATTGTGGATTATATACCGATTACACTATGTTCTGTGTTTATATTTTTTGTATAGGCATATTGTTTCAACACAATATTGAATATATTCGTTGTATAAAAGGAGGGGATATTTATTATCAGTTACTACCTCCTTTCTTCTGTGTGCGCTTTTACCTTTTTGTGTTTCATAAGAGTCATTGCAACAATATTAAAATCCCTGCAGAGGAGGTTGTGGTCGAACTACCTCACTATCTACTCCGCCTGTTTCCCCACTTACTACCACCTAAAAGAGTTAGTTGGATGTTACTGCGTACTAAAGCTGGTTGGATGTTGCATAACCAAGCCAATAAATGGTCCTGACTCTACCACACTGGATCTCATAGTCCAAATTGTGTCCTCTTGTGGTCAAAATTGAAGTTTTATCACCAGTTTGGGCCTCCTCCACCTGTGAATTTGAATCACATAGCCTTGTCTTCTTCTCCGACCTGTACCGAGTCACTCCCTCAGCACGGTCACTGGTATTCTATAGGAGAATAATGTCCACTACAGATGGGGCAATCCCCATTTGCTTCAAGTCACCAAAGATGGCTTATTACACAGGCTCCTGGATGTTGTTGAGTTTCAGGCCTTTGTGCAAGCTCTCTTTGGGCCACTTTGTTCACGCTTCCACACATCTGGGCAGGCAGGTTTCACGGGCACTGGACAACATGATGGACCGTGACTGTTAATTGTTTTTTTTCCTTTTTCTGTGCATAGACAAGCTGAAATATCGCAGATAAGGTGCACAATGTGTTCAAATTGTTGCCCTCACGCCTGACATTTTTATGTCCTTGTCTAAAGTAATGTAATGTCTTATCTATATCTGGGCTATGCAGCACTGGGCTTTGTGGATTTACTGTCATCTCACTAATCAGGCTCTGTTCGCCTCCTTTACCGTATAAACCCTAATGTGTTATTTTGATGTTGGGCTACATGAATGATAGGCTGGGAGCTCAGTTAGCTCAAAAAAAGGTGCCTAAGGGAGAAATATATTTTTGTTATTATTATAACAAATGGAATACTCCAAAGTTAACTCTGAATCCTGAGTAACATAATCTAACTGGAAAATCTTTACCTTTTCACTGTGCCTTCCAGGGCACCTGTCTGACTAGCCTGAACTCTCACAAAAAAACAAACCATAAAAAATAAGGGAAAACCCGACACAAAAAGTAATAAAATCAAATCAAAGTGTGCTAAAGAAAATCTATCATTAGATGCAGGACACAGGGAACCTCAATGTGAGATAATTAGGAGGTATGCACAGGAGGACGATGGGAGGTTGACTGAGCATCATGGGAAATCCAGTCCATAAAGACATGTAGTGCCATAGCTAGTCTATTTTTCTGGACTTAATTTCCATTGATTCTCAGCTAGCAAAATGTCATGCGAATCCTAATGTACAAACTATGACTAGCATCATGGCTGTATTTAAATCATAAGCATCTGTAGGCATATAATTCTCCAATGTCCCCAACCTCCATGTTGCCATGGCTTTATTTTTCATAAGGCATTTCCTTGGACAAGACTTTCAAGGGGGTGGCAAAAAATGTTGCCCACTAAATACCCCGGCAGGTGCCTTGTTAGCCTTGTGTCATTGTGGCCCAAGAGCTGATCGGCTGGCTATTGTAGGGCCCCCCGAGGTGCTTGGCTGTGCATACTGCAGGTGGATGGTGAGGGAGCACTGATCTCTATGTTCTTCTTGCTCTGCTCCCTCGAACACCCTGCTGTGATGCAGGGAGACGGAATATGATGTCATGCTGGAACCGGCATCACTAAGCAGCACGCAAAGGAGCAGAGCAAGTATAGCACAGATCCCTCGACACTTCCACTGAGCCCCACCTCAGCAACCCAGCAGCCACACTGGACCCCAGGGACAGAATCCACTGCAGCTCTCCCAAAGGTAGAGAGGCTGGGTGGAGTTAAATAAAAAAATAAAATTATAATTTGTGAGTGTATAAGAAAATGTGTGTTAGTGTGTGTCTGTCTGTCAGTGCATGCCTGTCAGTGAGTGTGAGTCTGTTAGTATGTGTGTGTGTGTGTCTGTTAGTGTGTGTGTCTGTAAGTGAGTGTGTCTGTGTCTGTCAGTGTGTCAAATCAGTGAGGATGTGTGTGTGTCAGTGTGTATCAAATCAGTGAGATTGTGAGTCTGTCAGTGTTTGTGTATCTGAGAGTGTGTGTCTGTCAGTGAAAGTGTGTGTTGGTTAAACAGTTATGTGCCAATGACTGTGTATCTGTCAGTGAGTGTATGTCAGTGCATGAGTCATTAAGGACATGTGTCTGTCAGTCAAAAAAGTACATGTTGGAATTGTGAATGTGTGTCTGTCAGTGAGTGTGTCTGTAAGTGAATGTGCACGTGTCTATCAATGTGTGTCTGTTAGTGACTGTGTGTGTGTGTGTCTGTCAGGGAATGGGCCGTGTCTATCAATGTGTGTTTGTCAGTAAGTGTGTGTGTGTCATTCAGTGTGTGTCTGCTGGTGTTTGTGTCTGCCATTAAAGGGGGCATGCATTACGTGCTATTTAGTAAAAAAATACACAATGGAAACTTGAAAATTCTCAAAGTTCACTGTTGAGTAACAGTAAAAGGAGAAGTTGACAACTGAAAATTCTAGGTTCCAAAAACCGAATCTTGCTGTTGCTGCCTAACCAATCAGAGCTTTCTTTCATTTCCACTCCTACTGTATATAAAGCACACACCTTTTATAATTAGTAGAAATTGCCAGCTGACAGTTGCATTGATAATTAAGGAAGTAAGCTCCAGGAAGCAGCTTGTTCGTTAGATCTAACAAGTAATACCTTGTCACCTTTTCTACAGCTCTCGACAAATAACAGAGCATCTCCTGCTCACAGCATCATGTCTGATCCATTCATAAGACACATCCAGCTTTTGGGATTTGAGAAGAGATTCCTCCCAAGTCAGCACTATGTAAGTAAAATAATTTAAAGCAGATATCTCATAGATCAATTGGATTGCAAATATGTTTTTAATTAAGTTATCATTAAAACGGTGACAGATTACAGGTGATTCTGTTTATAATGTATATGACTATGCATGAATAAGCTTCTTTTCTGGTCTCTTATTAAGTAAAAATTACATTACAGCTGAGTTGACAATTTTAAAGAAAATTTCCATTTTTGTTCATGTTAAGATAAACAAATTCTACATAACTGTTAACATTTAAAGATCAACAGCATCAAAAATTTCAGACTTTGCTATACCTCTAATCCTTATACCAAGCATATTTTTAATGGTAGGTCCTTGAAAACCAGAATGTTATGTCTATGGTTTTAAAGGTCTAAATAGACATTATTCTCTATAAAGAAATTATTCAAATATTTTTCATCTTGTTTCTCAGCATAAATCTTGAAATGATAAATTCTTAGGACATTTTTATTGTGAATGTGCAAAAATTGAACAATCAAATTGGACAATGTTTCATGAAATCTTCATTCATATGTGTCAGTTTTAAAAAGTGAGATTGATCAACACAAAAAAAAAGTATATAGACTTATGTTTTCATACTTCCTCTTTTTGGTTTTTATTGTACAGTATACATTTTTCACCGACTAAAAATAGCACTACACCACCTTGCCCACTACCACTAACTATATGTGTTATGGAGAAAGGAGTATTTAACTGTTTGTTATTCCCCCATGTTTTTGTCAAATGGCTTAAACGGACACTTCAGACACCCAGACCACTTCTGCCCATTGGAGTGGTCTGGGTGCCAACTCTCACTACCCTTAACCCTGCAACTGTAATTATTGCAGTTTTTATAAACTACAATAATTACCTTGCATGGTTAACTCCTCCTCTAGTGGCTGTCTACTAGACAGCCACTAGAGGACACTTCCTGCTTCATAGCACAGAAAACCTGTACTAGAGTGTCGCTGGACGTCCTCACGCTATGTGAGGACCTCCAGCGTCGCTAAAATTCTCATAGGCAAGCATTGAAAGCATTTTTAATGCTTTCCTATGGGGAGGTCTAATGTGCGTGCGCGGTTGCCGCACTTGCGCATTAGGTCTCCTCAGCCAGCAGGCGGGATCAGTCTCCCCCGCCGGCTGACTTGGTGACGGGGAGGAGTGTGGGCAGACCAAGAAGCAGCACCGAGGGACATCGCTGGATGTTTTGATCCCTTCAGCAACCGGGGATTGGGAAGTGGGAGGGAAAGGGGACCCGCAGTGCCAGGAAAACGGATTGTTTTCCTGGCACTGGAGAGTCCCTTTAACAAAAACAAATGTTATCCCCAACACCCAAAAATCCTCCCTGATTGGAATGTCACAAGGAAACATTTATTTCCTATTTATGCATTCAAAATGTCAAATTGTATTGCTAAGCAGGCTATATCTAGCACCAACATTTATTAGCTCTTTCAGTGGTGCCAAGTTAACACAACTTCTCTATATATTGATATCATACACATTATCATATATATTTGAAAACTATGGTTATGAAATGTTTTGTAATATTTGCCACTAGTTTATTTTGTGCTTTGGTATGAGTTACCATCGGTTTTAAGAATACAGAAAGCAATGGTGTTTTCAAGAGCTGATAGTCTTTTGGAAATAACACTAAATATGCATTTTTATTTTGGTAAAAGTTGACTATTAAAACCAGAAATTAATAAGGCTAGTTGACTCCCAAGCTAGTTGACTTTTGTTTTCTATTGAAGTGATAAGGTTGTGCCATAGAACTTGGCCTGCACTGTGGTGTATTGTATCACAGAGAGCTAATTAAACATTAAATCCTGGCAGCGTTGACTCAGCCCTTCATCCTTCCGAGGTAGATAAAATGAGTAGCATTAAATTGGGTAATAGCAACAACCCATGGATGCTGGGCTAAGGTACCATCCCCAGGACGTATTTGAAAACCAGAGTAATCTGAATGTACCTTTCCTGGTTAAATACTTTGTTATTATCATTATCATCATCATCATCATCATCATCATCAGTTCATTCAAGCAGCAAACTTATCTCCAGCTCTGAGTAACTAGGATCTGATTACATTTAGATAACCAATTAATGTTGTCAACTAGTCTAAATATTTTGTGCATCTTTGCTTTTTTTTTTTTAGGTGTATATGTTTTTGGTGAAATGGCAGGATCTTACAGAAAAACTGGTTTACAGGAAATATACGGAGATCCATGAGTTTCACGTAAGTTTTCTTTGTTTTCTCTTGATCATAGCAATTTTTATTTATTTTTTTGTTGCAGTTTTCTGCTGAGGATATAACAATCCATAGGGCTTGAATGATTTCACACAAATATGAAGGATTTCATAACATTCCCAGGGAGCAGCTATTTGCCTTTAATACTGTTATACTGGGAGAGGAGCTGGAGAGACGGAGACATTGTGATTCTCTCTCTCCAAATCCTTTTCAGGCATATAACTAAAAGCAGAGAAGCTAATATAGGTCCAGTGCGGACCACATCACATCAACATGTATTGGACTCCAGCAACAGCCCTAGCCTTAACTGTAGCCTAACCCCTAGCAGTTCTCCAAGCCCTAGGTCCAGCCCTAATTCTACCCCTAGCCCTAACCCTGTTTCATAAAAGATACACAAAGCTATGGCTTTATAGTTTTTTTGTATCATGTTTATAGTTTTTTGTTTAAAGAAAAGATGTTACAGAGTTGCAGCCATTTGGTTTTGCATGCCTGCATTGTGAGTGTCACATTATAGGAGGGGAAAACCATAGCCACAGTGCTATAGATGACTCTCAGAAGCCATTCTTCACAAACTGAATGATGATCTACATAATACTAGTATACTACTCGAGTATCATTTTTTTTTTTTTTTTTACCGTTTTACTGGCTTAATGTTTGGAAAGAAATTAGTTTAGCAACCAGTGTGAGCAATTGCTAAACTTCTTTGTTGCTTGTGTAATATGCTACTTCTTTTTTTTTTTTCTTTAGTTTGGCACATAATTGGTTTTCTAAACTATTTTGTAGTCTAATTATTTAAACTGACCTCTGTTTTATGTAACAAATGTAATTGTTGTCTACAGTTCCTCTAACCTTAGCTGATTCATTTCTTTAGTTAGCAATCATTTATATCATGCCCTGTAATAGTCTGACAAATTATTAACTTGACACAATATGGCATGCTTGAAGAAAGAAGATATGTATATAAATGTCACTGTATCACAACAGCAGCAATCATATCTAAATTTGTATCAGAACATTAAAGGAACACTATAGTCACCTAAATTACTTTAGCTAAATAAAGCAGTTTTAGTGTATAGATCATTCCCCTGCAATTTCACTGCTCTATTCACTGCCATTTAGGAGTTAAATCACTTTGTTTCTGTTTATGCAGCCCTAGCCACACCTCCCCTGGCTATGATTGACAGAGCCTGCATGAAAAAAAACAACTGGTTTCACTTTCAAACAGATGTAATTTACCTTAAATAATTATATCTCAATCTCTAAATTGAACTTTAATCACATACAGGAGGCTCTTGCAGGGTCTAGCAAGCTATTAACATAGCAGGGGATAAGAAAATCTTAATTAAACAGAACTTGCAATAAAGAAAGCCTAAATAGGACTCTCTTTACAGGAAGTGTTTATGGAAGGCTGGGCAAGTCACATGCAAGGAGGTGTGACTAGGGTTCATAAACAAAGGTATTTAACTCCTAAATGGCAGAGGATTGAGCAGTGAGGCTGCAGGGGCATGTTCTATACACCAAAACTGCTTCATTAAGCTAAAGTTGTTCAGGTGACTATAGTGTCCCTTTAAATAAATAGTGCTTTTTAAATTAAATGTTTTCCTTTCTTCGTGGGAAGAATCACTCCAAACATCATTTTCTGCTCCAGAATAGACTCAAATCATAACTTTCACTCACCTCAGCTCCCACTGTGCAAAATACCAAGAGATAAACAATAGGGGAACTCACCCATTGGTATTACACAGAAAATTTCCAAATACTTCCCAGAGGCAGCTGACATCGGCTGGAGATGTGTAAAAGCAGTGGTTACTTTTGTTCATATCTTTTGGGAGTGCCCACGCCTCGTCCCCTACTGACAGATGATCTTTGACTCCATGACACGGATAGCAGATGAAAGCGTATGCTTCAACCCTGCTGAGATGCTACTGAATAAATCGAACCTATCAATCTCAAAATACAAGAGAACTCTCTCGAGGCACATACTAACAGCAGGACGGTCACTATTCCCGCTGCACTGGCGTTGTTACGAACCCCTGACTTATCAGGAGTGACTGGAGAGTGTCGAGGATATAAGACAGGCTGAGTAAGAGGTTTAATTGTAAGTGTGTGACTAGACAAATATGAAGAGATATGGCGACCATGTACTTATTACGTATGTTCTAGTGATGGCGGTTAGGGAACAACATTCGGATGCCAGCACGACGATGGGCTTCGGAAGACCCCCCCCTCCCAGCGTGGATGGGGCATGCCGTGGTGGCTGAATGTAGACAAAGATGAGGGGGTCTCCCACGGGTCTAGACTTTGGTTCTCATCTCTTTCCCCTTCTTCTCCACTCCCCTCCTGTTTTTCTCTCTTTGGCCCTCTTCCTTACTCAATCTCATCTTTTCCCACTTCGTCTCTCTCTCTTTTATCTCATTATTTCCGCTTTCACTGTTCTATCTTTCCATGATTACGTATTTCACATCTTCGTCTCTCATACAGCTGTTTCCCATAGCGGCTGGAACTCTTAGGATTTCTTTCCTGGCCCAAGGTTAGGTGGCTTGACAGGGTGGGATGGGGCAGAAGAGAAGTACAGATGCATAGTCAGTGAATCTATTGCCACAGAGGTTGGAGACGGTCAGGCCCACAGTGGGCGATAGGGAGGTTAGGCCACGCAACAAACACATGGGGCTCTGGGGCTCTATGGACAGTTTAGACATTAGCAACTAGAAGGCCACGTAATTAGCACTTCCAGGCTAGCCTCCAACAGCCTGACTTTCGCACACCTAACTCGAATTGCAAATAAATGCGTTGCGTACAGTTAGCTTTACTGGTGCTTTAAATTACGATCAATGTCTAAGTGTGTTTTCCAGATACAATTGTTAAACCACATGCAGTTCTGACATCAGCAAAGAGATAACTGTTATATGTTTATTTCATTACTGTCTCTCTGTACCTATATATTGAAAAACTAATAAACAAAGATTGACCAAATTTATTTTTATTTTTTTACCAATGGAGAGAGCGTTTGGCTCATATGAGCACTCTAGCAGCGTTATAAACTAATTGACAGGAATTATGAAAAATTTAAGCCAAAATAGACAAAATCCATACTTTATTGGATAACCCCGTTGATGTCTCATTGCACCAAATTAAAAAAAAATGTTTGAGTGCCTATGTCATTGCTTTTTCTTTTAATTCATTTGCAGTTCCCATTCAGTTCTCCACAATTTCCAGTTTGGTGAATTTCCTAATGTGGTTAAAAAACATATGAGATTTGTGTAGGGTTAATTAGGGATTTGTAAGGATTAATTAATGTATGTACTGTAACTATGTATACTGTAGCCGTGTACCTAGTGTATAAAGACTGTAAGAGCTCACTCCAGCTGTAATAAGTATTTTTTTAACATAGTTATTCCAGATTTAATATACCTCTGATGAACCATTGAATGTAGTGTTTAAAGTCAGCATTCTTACATAAATAACGATTTTTATTTGTAGAAAGCATTAAAAGAAATGTTTCCTATTGAATCTGGGCAAATTGAGAAGGAACATCGGACAATCCCTCATTTACCAGGTAAATACATGTGCTTACAGTGTTTAGAAGTATGTTACTGTTTTAATTATTTATGGCATGTTAAAGGAAGTGGAAAAAAATGAATGGGTGCCATACAATTATGTATTTCTGACACTATATTTCTAACAGTGCATTTTAGGTGCAGTGTTAGACTCACCTTTTTTCCATTGCTGGCCAGGTTCCTGCACAGCTGACTCTCCCCGTGGTCTGCCTCCTTGGCAGAGATTATCAGACTCAATTCCTCATTAACTGCTCTTTGAACTAGACCTACAGTACATTAAAGCATTTCTGTCACTTTAAAACATTTCCCATTGCGATTGGATGTAGTTGAGGACAACTTTTCTCTATGCAATGTGAAGTAAAATGTGACTAGCACTAGCATTCTTGAGCACTGTATAGATGAGATTTTTCTTATCATTTGAATTGTGTGTAACTTTAACAACCTCAGCATGGAAGATCGAAAACAGAAGTGAAACTTCTGATTATGACTGAGCCTCCTGTTTTGTATCACAATAGATTCTAATTGTTTCACAAAATGAACACATGTGGGGGGAGTGTTTCTAGATTTATTCTGCAATTTACATTTAATGAAATAATATTAAAAAGGGTAGAATATAATAAGTATACCATTATAGAACATAGATACTGATGTAGTGAAGGTATCTTATCTTCTTTGGTATTTAGGAAGGGTCAAAAAAATGTTATACCAGCAATAATGGATGACAGTTAACTTGGAAATTTCCCTATCCCTCTCCTCCCCCCCAACCCTGACCAAAATTAAAATACATGCAAGGAAATCTATAATTTAAACTAAAATGTATGGGCATGACTCTAATCCTACTGTATGCAGAGTTGCAGAGTTGTTATTCATTTTACTCAGTGTAACTAGATCAGGTCCCCATAGCTCCTCTACAAGGAGTGTTAAATTGGATAATTCTGTTACCTTGTATAGTATGGTGTGTGTATATTGGATCAAATAAATAATACGGAATCTATAAACATAACGTTTTGTGTAAATGGGAATATATTCCATATTCTGAGATCAAATTATAATAACTAGTAAATTATGGAAAAAGTAATATTATTTACTTCACAGTGGTGCACCCCTCATTTCCTGACACTGTGAGAGAAAAGAATATAGTTGTGGGGTGTGAATACCATAATATAAACGAGTAGAGTCCATTTATACATCATTACATCTAGTAAACATAGAAACAAATTAGACTTGTGTAAAAATATGTTTTATCTGCAACAAACGCATCAGATTCCTGTTAATCTACACCCAAACGAATTGTAGATTAACAGGATTTTGATACTTTCGTTGCAAGTGAGAAGGATTTGTTCACAAGTCTAAAACAAACATTTGTAATTATTCCTAGCTCATTTTAGCTTGTCAATCTGTTACAATGATGCCTGTTTCATATGAAGGTAGAATCACAGAATAATATACAGAGCACAGGCAGAGATAGTGACCTACGTGAGAATTTTAAATTTAAGGCCAGAGTAGCCAAACTAGAATAACCCTCTCTATCACTAATGCTTTCAGTTCAGCTACTCTGGCACTCACTTTAGAAAATACACCTGCCAGTATTTAAATCTGCATAGGAAACAATTAAAGTAGGTCACGTCTCCATTTTCTCTTATACAATTTTCCAATTTAGAAATTCCCAGTGCTTTGTATGAATGGAGGGACCTAAGTACCCATGGGTTCCCATTGTATTAGAGCCCAGAATTATTTCAGATGAACTAACCAAAAATTCAATAACTTTATTGGCTTTCCAGCTCCAAAGTGGTTTGATGGCCTTAGATCCACAGAGAACAGACAGATTACACTGGCTGATTACTGCGCATCATTGCTCAGTCTTCCATCTAAGATTTCCCGTTGTCCCCATGTGATAAACTTCTTTAAAGTCCGATCAGATGATGTGAACCCTGCATCCAATAAAAAGTGAGTATTTGGCACTATCTTTGAACAGCTAAAGAAAAACTGCTCATTCGCTCTCTAACAGTTTGTATATTTATATAATACATATGTTAAACTTCCTCCATAGGATCTGTCTGAGGTCACTCAGCTAGAGTTGCCTCTATTGCCTGACAAGGAGAAGTCGTTAAGCTTTTGTACAAAATACAAGCTTTTGTAATAATATTGTTTCCAAAAGTACCTAATGTCTGTCTGTATTTTAGTGGTCGAAAACCGGAAACATTTTTGTTGAAGACAGAATCGACAAAGCAAGCAAACGTATCAGGTAGGAAAAAAAAATTCTCAATACTTATCATTTATTTGCTTTCTCAGATTGGGTTTTATATTGTTACTTGACTCCCTTAAAGGGACACTGTAGGCAGTAAAACCATTTCACAATATTGAATTTGTTTTAGTGCCTGGAATCTCTTAGCCCTGCATTCAGTTTTAATCTGTTTTTACTCCACCCACAGCCCGAACCCCTACAGGTATGGCTAAGGCAGAGATTACATATTTACTTCTAGCCATACCAATTCATATCAGGAATGGACACTGTGATAGGCTGAAAGCAGTCAGCTGACACTCTTAGCCAATCACAGCTGTCTATTGCTGCTTAGCCTAATGAGGAATCAGGGGAAGGGTTGCTGGGGACTTCTGTTTAGCATCCAAAAACTAAAAACAGGTATTGCTGCATAGAAGGGCACCAGGGGGACAACAGACATTATAACAACTTCTATGAGATGAAGCAGTTACAGTGCCCACAGTGTGCCTTTAATTTGAGGAAAGGATTAATCTTCCACTGAGAAGAGATTTTTTTAAAGCTGGAACATAACTGTTTATGTCTACTTGGGATATTCATGTTACATAAATGGTATGGAATTTAGTGGAACACAGAGGTACTTCAGTAACAATATATTTTATGATGGCTGTTTCAAAGCCATATAAATAAATGTAATGTAAATGAATTATATAGAAAACGTGTAATCAATTTGGAACAAGATATAAATATTGATTTAAATGTTATGTATGCACATCTATGTATTTTCACAAGTATAATGTATAATGATCCTAGTAAATTATGGGTATAAGAATTAGAGGCCAGTATCTTTAAGTATTAGCTATCATACTGTCCTGTATAGAAACCCATGACATAAGATAACTGGAGGGCCATCATTTTCTTTTTTCTAGCCTTTTTGAATCTTATTACATTTGCTGACTAAACAATCACTACTTATGTTCTGACCACAGATATCACCGGTCCCATTATTCTTCAGTCATATCGCGTGATCGCAGACTATGAAAAGAATACAAAGAGTGAACTGGGGGTAACAGCTGGTGATGTTGTGGATGTTGTGGAGAAAAATGAGAATGGTAATATACTTTTAAATCCATTACAAATACTTAATATCTGTTTATCAATGCATTTGTGAATGGCGATCTCTGCTATATAGAACATACAATTTATAAAAGTGTATGAGCATCTGTCTGTTTTTCTGAAATCTGAACTGACTGATTGTACTTGAAAACTGGAATTTATTCTCACCCTTGTACTCTCCAATCACCAATCAATACAGGTCGCCGCAGTGGTTATTCAGGAGTGCCCTGGCATCCTCGCAGTCTAAGTAGTCAAGCCATTTGAGAATGGTTTATCAAATTACTTGGTGTTTGCAGGGTGCTTGCCATGGCCCTCTCTCTAGCTGGAAGCTCCTGCTCTAAGCTGAGTCTGTTGGCTCAGGAAGGCACTCATTGGTTGAGACAACTCAACTGATGCTCTCAGTCCATGAGCGGCCCAAGGAAGCTTCTTTCGAGGAAATTCTGGCTCCACTGGAGGATGCAACAGTCTCCTGGGGATGTCCGTGTGATTTGAAAAACCAGTATTGGTTATTGTGTTTGAGTGTTCCTTTCATCAGATTATTTTATTGGAAATATGAGTGAGTGCAGGTTTTGACCCAACCTTGATTATGATCTAAAAGGCTGTTGTGTCGTTGTAGGGATGATATGAGGTCTAATAACTGTATCAATTTAAAAGAACCTATAGTGTCATGAATACAAACATTTTCCCATAGAAAATCATTGGGAGGCTATTGCACGTGCACAGCAAACCGCCGCACTGCACCAATAAGCATCTCCTCATAGAGATGCATTGAATTAGTGCATCTCTAAGGGTGGTATTCTGCGTCTTCATACAGAACGTGGAGATGCTGAACGTCAGTGCTGCACACACTGACCCAGGAAGCACCTCTAGTGGCCGTCTGAGTGACTGCTACTAGAGGTGTTACTAGGCAGTAATGTAAATACTGCTCTTTCTCTGAAAAGGCAGTATTTACATGAAAAAGCCTGTAGCATCACTTTATACACACCAGAACAAATACATTATGCTATAGTTTTTTTGGTGACTAAAGTGTCCCTTTAACCCCTTAAGGACCAAACTTCTGGAATAAAAGGGAATCATGACATGTCACACATGTCATGTGTCCTTAACAGGTTAATTAACCGCCTGCAAAGCTTAAATATGGTTATCCATACTGTGTGCACCATTGCATTATTTATGATGGTTAAATATCATTAGCTTTAATATTCAAGGACTACTAAATAGGACTTGTATGGAAAACATCTCTTACCTAATATGAATTTAAAAACTGTTTGAAGAAATGTTTAAGAAATCTTTAATTACATCAGCAAATTGAGTTTTCACTTCTTAGTCATACAATTATTTACACTGCAATCATCTGTCTGACTGAAAAATATGAATAATCAGGAATTTGTGTATTTAATGTATTCATGTCACAGGTTGGTGGTTCTGTCAACTAAAGAACAAACGAGGTTGGGTTCCTGCTGCCTATCTAGAACCTCTTGATAGTCCAGATGAATCTGAAGAGCAAGATCCTGATTATGCTGGTAATACAAACATCTTCTCTATCTTACATATTTGTTTTTCCACTACCTGGATAACCTTTACACATGTATCTTTAAATTTGTGAAGTTAACTATTCACCGACTCATCTTGTAACTGGCCTGAATGGACAGGGCAAACGCACTCTCACAATTCCTAACACATGGGTATAAGGTAGGGGTTGTAAAATGCCTTATACAGCTACCTGGTAAAATAATGTTTGTAGTCTTCATGCAAAGCTGCAAAGGCTAAGTAAGAAAAAAATTAAATGAAATGGAAATAACTTTGTTAGCACAATATAATAAAAATAATAATCGTGAAGTACATGATTTACAAGTAAATCACAGTGAAGATTGGGGACCAATACATCATTAAGCTAACTGTGACTAATTTACTTATCTTTTACTTCTAAATGTTCCTGAAAAATTGTTATATATGAAGTGCAAAGAGTAAGTTTGTAACAGAATGGTGTTTGGTAGGATTAGACACTCCTTAAAGGGACATACATCACTTTTAGACAACTGCCTTGTTCAAAAGATTTATTTGGAATTAGACAGTTGACTCAGGCAGAAAAAGCATGTAAATATGATTTTTCTTTTTCATATATACCTGCTTATTCTTGCCTGGGCTTTCCACACTTCCTCCTAGGAGGACACTGATGTTGTCAATCAGTGCCCAAGCCCTAGGGATTGTGAAAAGTCAAATTGCACATGTGCATCTCAGTCATACATGCACAATTCAAACATCTCAGACATCATTGATGATGTCATAGGATGTGTGCCGATAGTGAACGAGGGTTATCCACAAAAAACAAGCGCTTTGCATTTGAATGAGACATTTATCTCATTCTGTTAGCAGAAAAGGCAAGTATATATATTTTTTGCTTTCCTCCATATCTACCTGCTTTTTCCTTCCCTGCCTTTTGCATGCTTTTCTTAGGGGGGCACTGATCCAGCCAATTAGTGTCCTATCTCTAAGTATTTTTTGAAAATCACATTGCACATAGCATCATCAGTGATGTTGGATTATTCTTAGACAAGCATCTACCTCTTTTACACAGAGCTGTTCATTCTACACAGGGTGTCTCCCTCGACAACGAGCGGAAATTTCTTCAGATTGTCTCCGGTAGATAATGAGTGTTTCTTTTTAAATAGTAGAGACTCTGCCTCTACTAGTGAGTCCCTCTGTATACTGTGGCTCAGTATGTGTATATGTATATATATATATATATATATATATATATAGGAATTCACTGTACAGAGCATTGAATGTCACTCAGTATATAAAATATAAGAATATAGAGAGATTCACAATGCAGAGTATTCTCTGCACATTGAGTCCCGCTGTACTAACATTACACTATATATATATATATATATATCTCTCTCAAAAACCAAAAAAGGTATGGTGGAGAAAAAATGAGATTCAAAACCCCTTCCACCAGAAGTCTGTGGATAGTTAATACAATGTTAAGCAAAAATCTGCATACCAGTCAAGCCATAAGACTTGCTTTTTCCACAGGAATTACAGATTTGCAGTGATGTTACTACCACAAAGGATTCTGGGTGGGCATATGCAAATTAGTTCAACAAAGAATACAATGTTTGCCTCATTCCATTTTAAACATGGATTCCTTTGAGTCTGTGTTTGCTGTATATATTTCAAAGCTGTTGTCTACAGCATTTTCAGAGAGTCAGTTGATCATTACTGTTTCCCTGACTCTCAGCATCCTTTGCTCTTTTGTGTGCAAATGTCACAAGTGTTCATGCATGCCTAGTGCTAGTTCATGTGAAACTGAGATGAGTGGATTAGTGGTTTGGAGAGCAGAAGGTAAGAGGCAAGGGGAGGGAGGCTGAAGAAGCACCTCTAGCTAAGAGATGTAAGAGACAAAGGAAACTACGAACATTAATAATGTTATAATAAATGTTTATTATATAACTTAAAAACTTATCCTTCTTTATTTTAGTTTGTATATTTGTGTAAAAGTGTTTGCTTGCTGGTTTAAAAAACATATTGTCACATGATGCATGTCCCTTTAAACTATAAATTACATCCCACACATGGCACACCCCTCAGGGCTAAATTTCTACTCTCCAGGAGTAGATTTCTACTCAATAATGGTGTTTGTGATATTGAAAATCTTAAACTCATATGTTAATTCCTCCCACCCACCGCCAAATTTTCTTAATCCTTTTACCTGCTTTTTGATGCAGTAGTTTCTAAAGACACTCCAATTGAGGGCAATTTTATATATTTAACTAGAGATATTAAATGAACACGCCAAACACTTAAATCACTTCAAAAAGTGTGTCCCCTTTTACATTTTAAATAGAAATCAACACTTTCACAATTCTATCCGGCTTCAATTAGACAGTAGGGAGGTTTTTTTTCCAGCTAGTTTAGCTCCCTGGAGCAAAGTGTAAATGGCAGGTTCCCAGAGTACTAGATGTTAGACTTGTGTAAAAATGTGTTTGAACTGGTTTGTTTAATTAAATTCATTTTAATCCATGCTGAACATAGAAATCCATTGAGGATTGACATGCGGAGTATTATTAATTGAATTGAATGAAAAGACTCCAGAGGTAAATCCTCATTTTGTTCTGTCATGGATTAAAAGGAATTTGATTTGAACTAACCGGTCCAAATGAGTTTTTGTACAAGTCTACTAGATCTGCAGCTAAATTTTCATCACCTCCAAAGAAAATATGCAAAAAGACATGTATGGCTTTGGGGCACATCTATTAGAGAGTTAAAAAAAAAAAAAAAAAAGATTTTCTGCCATTTAGGGATTGCTAGTTGTCCATTTGAATGAGACAGAAATTGCTAAATTTTGACTTTAGCAGGTTTCCCTATCATCCCGAGTTTGGTGTGATAGTCCAAGTTTTCCGTTTTCCTGACTTTGTTCTCGCTTTTTGTGGACACCAGAGAACTATCCCAAACACAAATAAGGCAAGCACATTATTTGATGTGCTTGGGCTATGTTCAAGACTGGAATAGTGCTCCCTGCATGGTCTTCTCCCCCAGTGGGCTGGCCTGCTTGATTGCCAGGTTGACCTGTCACTTCTACAGGTGGAGCCACCTCTTTCTAGGCAGGGCCAGTGACGTGAATTGCATCACTAGTCTGCCCCTTTTTGCGCCTCTCACTACATCCCTGCTTCATTGGACGCTAGAGTTGAGATGTATGCTATAACTGAGTTTAGAATCCGCTAAATCAGCCATACTGAATTTTATAACTGTGTTCATAGTTCACAGATATAGTCTAGAGATTAGCAAATAACCCTGTAAGTCACATAGCATAGCTGCTATTTGCCCAAAGGCCCATCGGGATACAAGGAGATGCCTGGAGCAGGCATCACTAGAATGATGTCGGCTATTAAACCAAGAATAGATATTTATTTGGGTTTCTTGTGTTTGTTATGTTGTTGGAAAAACTGTTTTCTTTATAGTCCTCTTTCTCCCTACTATAAAGGTGAAAAACACATTATCACAAAAGATTATTCAAGCACTCTGGATGATGAACTGAATGTGAAAGAGGGTGAAACAGTTGACGTTATTCATAAGCTCCTGGATGGATGGTGGGTTGTCAGGTATGAGCAAAGTGAAATACAAGGACTTCCAGGGAGAGTTCTAGATATTTGTTTTTCAGGATGGAGTAAATTAAATTTAGAGCAAATGGGAATAGAATCATAGGATTGGGATTGGTTCTCACAAAAAGACAGACGTTCAAGCAATTCAAAGCATACCAGACTCACATCCTATTGAAACATCCCCTGCACTTCTCCCACCTGGCTCATTAGTAGACACGGACCTCGATTTACCACCCTATTTTCAGCCCTAGGTTTCCCTATGTATATTTTCTTTGAATAGTTTTAAAAATCAGTGATGGGAAAAAACACTAAAACAATTGTTGAAAACTAGTAACTTCTTTACAATATTGCCCCTGAATCTCTAACAGAGCAGGCTTAACCTTAGGTGGTCACATCAGATCTAGTGGTTAGACAGGGACCCCGGAATACTTCATTTGTCCCCTTATACCTCCCTATATAAAGAATTAAGGGGGAGGGATAGTAACCTGCCTATGGCCTATGGAATCTTAATCTTTCTCTGATAAATGACTAAAATCTATTATAACAGTTAGACCTTTTCCTTAGGCTATATTATGTTATCTGAATAGCAGACATGATTAAAATACAGTGTCACCTTGACCTGTGAGTACCAACTTGTATTCATCACCTGACATGAATTAGAGACAGCACATTACTGTTACAGCATATACAATATTGCCGGTGATGGTGACACTTATTGGAACATTTTAATTTTATATCTGATAATTGTGACATTTTAACAGCTGATGATGAGCTGTTAAACCACTGGTATCTACTTTGTGTGAAGAAGGGCCTTATACCTTATTATTAAACACTCAAGTTTTAACAAAGACAGTCCTGTCGAACACAAATTAACAGCACTCAACACTCTAAGGGAACCATCGAAAACCTGTATTAATGAAATTAGGGTTTAGGCCTGTTTTTTAGATGATAATATTTTCTGACTTTCGACAATGTGCTGGTAGAAAACAGGTTTGTGAAGTTTGGATTCCGAAAGCATGGTAATTTGCGAAAGACATAAAATTTTATCAGTTGGTTACAGATTCTAGACTGTAATGTAGAGCTTAAACATTTTGGGGGGTTTGGCACCAATTCTTGATACCGCAAATGAAATCTGTATGAATATTTATGAAAAAAGTTTTTGGGGGTTTCATAACTTGTTTTTCTCTTGTACAGGAAGGGCAGCATAACTGGGTATTTGCCTGCAATGTATCTGAAGAAATCTGGTGAAGCATCCCCTGCAGATGAGAATCAAATAAAGACTAAAGCCTTGCCACCTCGAAGGTGAGCCAAATTGTTAAGGTTAAAGAGCTCCCCACATCTTTTTGGTTGCTTCTTTTCTTTAGTTAAGGAAAATGATGTGGGTGTACTGTACAGTGAACATACACATGCAGTACAAATGGGTATTTTCCTCTTAAATGAAGGGGAAACATTTACATGTTGGAGTGCCTGTGCCTTGTGCATAATATGCATGTCATGTATAGTGTTGCTATTTCCTCAGTTCTTTTTCCAGTATTAAGTAAAAATGCAATATTAAAACATAAAAATGCAATACATTCAAATGTGCCAATTAAACCTTAATATATAGTGATTAAATAAATATAAAAAGGCAATTATGGATTTGATGAACAATAAGTCAATAAAAACAGAGAAAGTACTTTAGCACAGTGTTTCCCAAACCAGTCCTCATGGACCACTAACAGTCCGGGATTTATGTATTTCCCTGTTTTATTCCGAAGGAGACACTGACAAAACCTGGACTGTTGGTGGGTCTTTATCCCCTTAGGGGGTCGAAACGTCTATTTGAACATGCGCAGTTTATGTATTTTTTGAAATACAATAAATATGTTTTCCCATGATTTCAAGACCTGGGGTGCTCCCTAAATTTTATTTTATAATCTATTTCATACATGAGCCAGTGCACTCACTCATTCACTAAACCATGATTTCACAGAATGTAACATTTTTATTTAAAAAAAACTTACCAAGGCAAAAAAATATGGGGGTTTAGTTACAATATATGATCATACATTACATAAGCCTGCCACAATGTCAATGTACCCCATTCTTGGCAGGTCCTATCCTAGCAGCCTAGTGCCTGCTCTGAGATTAATCCACTTACTTGGGAGATGCTTCCTCCTGGGACTCTCTGCAGGGCAAGGTTACATATAATGTGTGTGTATATATATATTCTTTATAGTCGTACAGGTATCTTACATTAATTAAAGGGACCCTATGTATTCCATGTAGGGAATGTGGTGGTAGTGGCTAGCCATAAAAAAGAACAGGAAGCTAATGACTCAAAAAAATCATACAAAAAATTACTTTAAATTAAACACTTGTTTTTCTTATTGTTTCGTTCTAAATGTAGGTCCACTATTTCAAATGCTCGAAGCATGCACCAACAAAGTCGCAAGCAGATTACCCAGGACACATACAGGAGAAACAGCAAGAAGTATTTAAAGGAACGACAGTCTAAAACAGAATCTATGATTACAGCCATAACAATTGGTATGTATGGGTCTACTTATATTATAGGCATGTTTTATATTTATCTAAGTGGATTAAAAGGTTAATTAGCCTCTTGTAGTGCAGTACAGTGTAAAATTCTGTTTCATGCAGTTCCCAGCTTGCATCAATTCTTATCTGCAGTATTTTTGCATTCGTTTTTCACATTAACTGCTTAATAGCTTATATCAGGGTTCGCCAAATGATAATTGCCAGCTGCTGTTAAACTACAATGATGATGCTAAGACTGGCAAAGAGTCATGAGATTTGTGGTTCTATAAAGTTGGAATCTGCCGTAGGTTTAGATGAAGGCAGTATAATTAGGTAGTAGTGAGTATGTATTTTTTTTCTTTCATTAAACTGTTTTTTAAAAAGTATATATCATGATTGTAGAGATGATAATCCCCTTACTTTTTGTATTTTCTTCACTTTTGTTTTTATATATTTTTTTGTGGTCTAGATGAGGACAAAGAGATGGAAAGTCCTTGCAAAGCACAGCCTGCCATTCCACCAAGGCCAAGCAAAGAAGTTATTTTGGATCGTTGTACAGAGCACACAAAATCCAAGATTCGGACTATGAACTGAGAGAAACTGAAAATCAAGAGCCTCTGTACCTGAGCCTCTCATGGGCCATTTGTCATTTCTAAATTTTGTGCACAGCACATTGAATTGCTCATTTAAATATTAAATGTGCCTTCTGCCTATTGTGTTTCTCAGGAAACAATAACATTACTGTGGAGTATAATCTTGACTTCCAGTAAGATAAAAACCCAATTAAATTAAATATTGTAATGCTCCTTCGAGGCTAAAGTTTGGTTTTACTGCATAAAGCAGCAATACCATTAATGGGTATGTGCTCATCTACAACACAGCATGGTGCACACATACCTATTCCATACAGCATACAACACCACAGCATGGTGCACACATACCTATTCCGTGCAGCATACAACACCACATATCCCTCTTCTGGTACTCTACTGCGTATAAGCAACTTTATTGGTGTATTTATACAGAAAACAAAAATTACAAATCAGTACACATTCACATATGTCTGCAACCGAATAGTAGGAGAAAGTAATGAACAAGAAAATCTGTTTGTGGGATTGAAAGCAAGCAAGTAATTCTCTTAGACTGTCGATGATGGAATAGTCTCTGACAATGCTGTAAAAGTCTTGACTGATAACTTGCTATCTCCTGAACAACAGAGAATTTCAATCAAACCATCAAGCCTCCTACAAACACCATATCAGGGGCCAAGTTTGGGGGAAAATCCATGTTGTGCCATATGACTACATGTGTATTCTAATAGCGGGAATATTCTCAAGGGTGTATATTACACTGCAACAAGTTGTGGTGAGTTGACAATAGTTTTGCAGAATATGTGCCAAAGAAGCTGAGTTATAAAAAATATTTCAATCTTCAACTAAGAGGAAGTATATATTTTAGTCTAGATTCTGCAGCAATTGTCAAAATCCACTGACCAAAAAGTCAAGTTTTGGTAAGTAGGGGAAGTGCATTTTCACTTTATAATTGCATACCTGTAAAAAGCCAGAGAGAACATTTAAGCTATCTTTACAGAACAAAAGTCTAGGACAGGGTTAGGCAACCTTTGGCACTCCAGATGTTGTGGACTTCATCCCCCATAGTACTCTTAGATCCATAATGCTGGCAAAGCATCATGGGTGGTGTGGTCCAAAACATCTGGAGTGTCGAAGGTTGCCTGTGCGTCGTCTAGGATATGTGCAGTTGTATTTAAGTGAATTTGTTCTACCTTTATCGTGCACATAATTGCTAGCAGTGCTATCCTATACTGGTCCGTTGCATGTTTGTTAAAACTTTACATTTGAATAATCCACCTTTATATCATATACATATGTATTCTTACTTTTTCAAACTTGTTCAATAAAGAATATGGAAAAAAGCCTAATCAACCAGAATAATAATCCAGGATTACTTAAAGCAATTCTATGCAATGTACTCTATTTCAAAAATATATTGTCTCAGAAATTTAGATGTGCAAAATTGGATTAGTTCAAGTGAGAGGGAAGTCAGGAAGGAGTGTTGCTTATAATAATTATTATTTAGATTTCATTTTTATGAGGCACCAAGTATACCATGTCAATACAAATTAATGACAGGTTCTTAAAATTGTATGGTGCACAAAAAAAAGCAAAGCAAAGCAAACATAGTACAAAAAACACCCTAAACCATTCAAATAAGGTTACTCCTCATTAATTTCACCGTTTGCCTAAACCTAGAACCACTGTCATCTTAACACTATATTATCATAATTATTATGTTATAAGGCCCATTTAAGGAGCCTGAAACAAGCATTAAAAGTAACCAACAGCTTAAATACAGAAGAAGAACAACAGGAACTCATCTCATGCTCAGAAAAAAACAAAACCCTGAAGCTCTTGCTTGTGGTTACTGAGTTTAGACACTTTCAAGCTCATTCTACCAGTTACAAACAATAAAGATTATCTCCGAAAGTATAATCAAAGTATAGTATGGTTAAAGGTCATGTTTGAAAAATATGGCATACTTTAAAACGTTCTCCTTAACATTGCATCGACAATATAAACCATGTACTGAAAAGCCCTCTTAGGAAATGATTTGTGACATATTGACTTTTCCACCTAAAGAAAATGTGACAAGGAGTTTATGTGGAGTTGGAAGATAGAATTGTGTTTTCTACGGTGCTAGTCTGCACATGTTAACATGTGAAGCCAAGGAATCAGACTCATGCGTGTATTTTGATGCTTTAATCTCTGAAAGATTGAGAAGAAGGCAACAGGCTATGGGTAGCACGTAAAAAATAATTGTCATGTATACTTCTAAATTGCACAGAAACACCCAGATACATTATTTTGATCTTGAGAGTTATTCTCCAGTGCCAGCATTTTATCCCACAATTGTTCCATGGAAAGGCATTCCAAAGTGTTTGGAGTTATTCACAAGAGGATATTGACAAGCTGGTTAAAAGAGAGCTGGAAAAATGTTAAGGCATGTAAACACCACTCTAGAGATACATGTAAGATATCTGCTGCCTGTAGATAGCTCCAGCTAAAAACCACATTGTCGTTTGACTTGGACATTTTGTTAAACAAGAAATCTCTCCCACACTGTCAGACAGAACATGATGTATTTCTTTGGAAGACAACCCCTTTTACTATGACAAATTATAAATAACACCACTCAGATTGGGTTTTCTCTGTTCTAAGTCCCATTTAAGAAACCCAGAACATTCATCAAAAGTAACCAGGAACTCATCTCATGCTCAGGAGAAAACCCTGAATCTCTTCCTTGTGGTTACTGAGTTTAGACACTTTCGATCACATTCCACGAGTTACAAACTATAGAAATGATCCCTGAAAGTATAGTCTTAAAGAGCATATTTGCAAGAATATGGCACATTATAAAATGTTCTCCTTAACATTGCATCGACAATCTAAACCATGTACTGAAAAGCCCTCTTAGGAAATGATTTGTGACATATTGACTTTTCCACCTCAAGAAAATGTGACAATGAGTTTATGTGGAGTTGGAAGATAGAATTTGTGTTTTCTACGGTGCTAGTCTGCGATGTTCACATGTGAAGCCAAGGAATCAGACTCATGCATGTATTTTGATGCTTTAATCTCTGAAAGATTGAGAAGAAGGCAACAGGCTATGGGTAGCACATAATGAACAATTGTCATGTATACTTCTAAATTGCACAGAAACACCCAGATACATTATTTTGATCTTCAGAGTTATTCTCCAGTTCCAGCATTTTATCCCACAATTGTTCCATGGAAAGGCATTCCAAAATGTTTGGAGTTATTCACAAGAGGACATTGACAAGCTGGTTAAAAGAGAGCTGGAAATATGTTAAGGCATGTAAACAACACTCCAGAGATACATGTAAGATATCTGCTGCCTGTAGATAGCTCCAGCTAAAAACCACATTGTCGTTTGACTTGGACATTTTGTTAAACAAGAAATCTCTCCCACACTGTCAGACAGAACATGATGTATTTCTTTGGAAGACAACCACTTTTACTATGACAAATTATAAATAACACCACTCAGATTGGGTTTTCTCTGTTCTAAGTCCCATTTAAGGAACCCAGAACATTCATCAAAAGTAACCAGCAACTCCACACAGAAGTTGCAGGAACTCATCTCATGCTCAGGAGAAAACCCTGAATCTCTTCCTTGTGGTTACTGAGTTTAGACACTTTCGAGCACATTCCACGAGTTACAAACTATAGAAATGATACCTGAAAGTATAGTCTTAAAAAGCATATTTGCAAGAATATGGCACATTATAAAATGTTCTCCTTAACATTGCATCGACAATCTAAACCATGTACTGAAAAGCCCTCTTAGGAAATGATTTGTGACATATTGACTTTTCCACCTCAAGAAAATGTGACAAGGAGTTTATGTGGAGTTGGAAGATAGAATTTGTGTTTTCTACGGTGCTAGTCTGCGATGTTCACATGTGAAACCAAGGAATCAGACTCATGCATGTATTTTGATGCTTTAATCTCTGAAAGATTGAGAAGAAGGCAACAGGCTATGGGTAGCACATAATGAACAATTGTCATGTATACTTCTAAATTGCACAGAAACACCCAGATACATTATTTTGATCTTCAGAGTTATTCTCCAGTGCCAGCATTTTATCCCACAATTGTTCCATGGAAAGGCATTCCAAAATGTTTGGAGTTATTCACAAGAGGACATTGACAAGCTGGTTAAAAGAGAGCTGGAAATATGTTAAGGCATCTAAACACCACTCTAGAGATACATGTAAGATATCTGCTGCCTGTAGATAGCTCCAGCTAAAAACCACATTGTCGTTTGACTTGGACATTTTGTTAAACAAGAAATCTCTCCCACACTGTCAGACAGAACATGATGTATTTCTTTGGAAGACAACCACTTTTACTATGACAAATTATAAATAACACCACTCAGATTGGGTTTTCTCTGTTCTAAGTCCCATTTAAGGAACCCAGAACATTCATCAAAAGTAACCAGCAACTCCACACAGAAGTTGCAGGAACTCATCTCATGCTCAGGAGAAAACCCTGAATCTCTTCCTTGTGGTTACTGAGTTTAGACACTTTCGAGCACATTCCACGAGTTACAAACTATAGAAATGATCCCTGAAAGTATAGTCTTAAAGAGCATATTTGCAAGAATATGGCACATTATAAAATGTTCTCCTTAACATTGCATCGACAATCTAAACCATGTACTGAAAAGCCCTCTTAGGAAATGATTTGTGACATATTGACTTTTCCACCTCAAGAAAATGTGACAAGGAGTTTATGTGGAGTTGGAAGATAGAATTTGTGTTTTCTACGGTGCTAGTCTGCGATGTTCACATGTGAAGCCAAGGAATCAGACTCATGCATGTATTTTGATGCTTTAATCTCTGAAAGATTGAGAAGAAGGCAACAGGCTATGGGTAGCACATAATGAACAATTGTCATGTATACTTCTAAATTGCACAGAAACACCCAGATACATTATTTTGATCTTCAGAGTTATTCTCCAGTGCCAGCATTTTATCCCACAATTGTTCCATGGAAAGGCATTCCAAAATGTTTGGAGTTATTCACAAGAGGACATTGACAAGCTGGTTAAAAGAGAGCTGGAAATATGTTAAGGCATGTAAACACCACTCTAGAGATACATGTAAGATATCTGCTGCCTGTAGATAGCTCCAGCTAAAAACCACATTGTCGTTTGACTTGGACATTTTGTTAAACAAGAAATCTCTCCCACACTGTCAGACAGAACATGATGTATTTCTTTGGAAGACAACCACTTTTACTATGACAAATTATAAATAACACCACTCAGATTGGGTTTTCTCTGTTCTAAGTCCCATTTAAGGAACCCAGAACATTCATCAAAAGTAACCAGCAACTCCACACAGAAGTTGCAGGAACTCATCTCATGCTCAGGAGAAAACCCTGAATCTCTTCCTTGTGGTTACTGAGTTTAGACACTTTCGAGCACATTCCACGAGTTACAAACTATAGAAATGATCCCTGAAAGTATAGTCTTAAAGAGCATATTTGCAAGAATATGGCACATTATAAAATGTTCTCCTTAACATTGCATCGACAATCTAAACCATGTACTGAAAAGCCCTCTTAGGAAATGATTTGTGACATATTGACTTTTCCACCTCAAGAAAATGTGACAAGGAGTTTATGTGGAGTTGGAAGATAGAATTTGTGTTTTCTACGGTGCTAGTCTGCGATGTTCACATGTGAAGCCAAGGAATCAGACTCATGCATGTATTTTGATGCTTTAATCTCTGAAAGATTGAGAAGAAGGCAACAGGCTATGGGTAGCACATAATGAACAATTGTCATGTATACTTCTAAATTGCACAGAAACACCCAGATACATTATTTTGATCTTCAGAGTTATTCTCCAGTGCCAGCATTTTATCCCACAATTGTTCCATGGAAAGGCATTCCAAAATGTTTGGAGTTATTCACAAGAGGACATTGACAAGCTGGTTAAAAGAGAGCTGGAAATATGTTAAGGCATGTAAACACCACTCTAGAGATACATGTAAGATATCTGCTGCCTGTAGATAGCTCCAGCTAAAAACCACATTGTCGTTTGACTTGGACATTTTGTTAAACAAGAAATCTCTCCCACACTGTCAGACAGAACATGATGTATTTCTTTGGAAGACAACCACTTTTACTATGACAAATTATAAATAACACCACTCAGATTGGGTTTTCTCTGTTCTAAGTCCCATTTAAGGAACCCAGAACATTCATCAAAAGTAACCAGCAACTCCACACAGAAGTTGCAGGAACTCATCTCATGCTCAGGAGAAAACCCTGAATCTCTTCCTTGTGGTTACTGAGTTTAGACACTTTCGAGCACATTCCACGAGTTACAAACTATAGAAATGATCCCTGAAAGTATAGTCTTAAAGAGCATATTTGCAAGAATATGGCACATTATAAAATGTTCTCCTTAACATTGCATCGACAATCTAAACCATGTACTGAAAAGCCCTCTTAGGAAATGATTTGTGACATATTGACTTTTCCACCTCAAGAAAATGTGACAAGGAGTTTATGTGGAGTTGGAAGATAGAATTTGTGTTTTCTACGGTGCTAGTCTGCGATGTTCACATGTGAAGCCAAGGAATCAGACTCATGCATGTATTTTGATGCTTTAATCTCTGAAAGATTGAGAAGAAGGCAACAGGCTATGGGTAGCACATAATGAACAATTGTCATGTATACTTCTAAATTGCACAGAAACACCCATTGCACAGAAACACACATTATTTTGATCTTCAGAGTTATTCTCCAGTGCCAGCATTTTATCCCACAATTGTTCCATGGAAAGGCATTCCAAAATGTTTGGAGTTATTCACAAGAGGACATTGACAAGCTGGTTAAAAGAGAGCTGGAAATATGTTAAGGCATGTAAACACCACTCTAGAGATACATGTAAGATATCTGCTGCCTGTAGATAGCTCCAGCTAAAAACCACATTGTCGTTTGACTTGGACATTTTGTTAAACAAGAAATCTCTCCCACACTGTCAGACAGAACATGATGTATTTCTTTGGAAGACAACCACTTTTACTATGACAAATTATAAATAACACCACTCAGACCGGGTTTTCTCTGTTCTAAGTTTTCCCATTCTAAGTCCCATTTAAAGAACCCAGAACATTCATCAAAAGTAACCAGCAACTGCACACAGAAGTTGCAGGAACTCATCTCATGCTCAGGAGAAAACCCTGAATCTCTTCCTTGTGGTTACTGAGTTTAGACACTTTCGAGCACATTCCACGAGTTACAAACTATAGAAATGATCCCTGAAAGTATAGTCTTAAAGAGCATATTTGCAAGAATATGGCACATTATAAAATGTTCTCCTTAACATTGCATCGACAATCTAAACCATGTACTGAAAAGCCCTCTTAGGAAATGATTTGTGACATATTGACTTTTCCACCTCAAGAAAATGTGACAAGGAGTTTATGTGGAGTTGGAAGATAGAATTTGTGTTTTCTACGGTGCTAGTCTGCGATGTTCACATGTGAAGCCAAGGAATCAGACTCATGCATGTATTTTGATGCTTTAATCTCTGAAAGATTGAGAAGAAGGCAACAGGCTATGGGTAGCACATAATGAACAATTGTCATGTATACTTCTAAATTGCACAGAAACACCCAGATACATTATTTTGATCTTCAGAGTTATTCTCCAGTGCCAGCATTTTATCCCACAATTGTTCCATGGAAAGGCATTCCAAAATGTTTGGCGTTATTCACAAGAGGACATTGACAAGCTGGTTAAAAGAGAGCTGGAAATATGTTAAGGCATCTAAACACCACTCTAGAGATACATGTAAGATATCTGCTGCCTGTAGATAGCTCCAGCTAAAAACCACATTGTCGTTTGACTTGGATATTTTGTTAAACAAGAAATCTCTCCCACACTGTCAGACAGAACATGATGTATTTCTTTGGAAGACAACCACTTTTACTATGACAAATTATAAATAACACCACTCAGATTGGGTTTTCTCTGTTCTAAGTCCCATTTAAGGAACCCAGAACATTCATCAAAAGTAACCAGCAACTCCACACAGAAGTTGCAGGAACTCATCTCATGCTCAGGAGAAAAACCTGAATCTCTTTCCTTGTGGTTACTGAGTTTAGACACTTTCGAGCACATTCCACGAGTTACAAACTATAGAAATGATACCTGAAAGTATAGTCTTAAAAAGCATATTTGCAAGAATATGGCACATTATAAAATGTTCTCCTTAACATTGCATCGACAATCTAAACCATGTACTGAAAAGCCCTCTTAGGAAATGATTTGTGACATATTGACTTTTCCACCTCAAGAAAATGTGACAAGGAGTTTATGTGGAGTTGGAAGATAGAATTTGTGTTTTCTACGGTGCTAGTCTGCGATGTTCACATGTGAAACCAAGGAATCAGACTCACGCATGTATTTTGATGCTTTAATCTCTGAAAGATTGAGAAGAAGGCAACAGGCTATGGGTAGCACATAATGAACAATTGTCATGTATACTTCTAAATTGCACAGAAACACCCAGATAAATTATTTTGATCTTCAGAGTTATTCTCCAGTGCCAGCATTTTATCCCACAATTGTTCCATGGAAAGGCATTCCAAAATGTTTGGAGTTATTCACAAGAGGACATTGACAAGCTGGTTAAAAGAGAGCTGGAAATATGTTAAGGCATGTAAACACCACTCCAGAGATACATGTAAGATATCTGCTGCTTGTAGATAGCTCCAGCTAAAAACCACATTGTCGTTTGACTTGGACATTTTGTTAAACAAGAAATCTCTCCCACACTGTCAGACAGAACATGATGTATTTCTTTGGAAGACAACCACTTTTACTATGACAAATTATAAATAACACCACTCAGATTGGGTTTTCTCTGTTTTAAGTCCCATTTAAGGAACCCAGAACATTCATCAAAAGTAACCAGCAACTCCACACAGAAGTTGCAGGAACTCATCTCATGCTCAGGAGAAAACCTTGAATCTCTTCCTTGTGGTTACTGAGTTTAGACACTTTCGAGCACATTCCACGAGTTACAAACTATAGAAATGATCCCTGAAAGTATAGTCTTAAAGAGCATATTTGCAAGAATATGGCACATTATAAAATGTTCTCCTTAACATTGCATCGACAATCTAAACCATGTACTGAAAAGCCCTCTTAGGAAATGATTTGTGACATATTGACTTTTCCACCTCAAGAAAATGTGACAAGGAGTTTATGTGGAGTTGGAAGATAGAATTTGTGTTTTCTACGGTGCTAGTCTGCGATGTTCACATGTGAAGCCAAGGAATCAGACTCATGCATGTATTTTGATGCTTTAATCTCTGAAAGATTGAGAAGAAGGCAACAGGCTATGGGTAGCACATAATGAACAATTGTCATGTATACTTCTAAATTGCACAGAAACACCCAGATACATTATTTTGATCTTCAGAGTTATTCTCCAGTGCCAGCATTTTACCCCACAATTGTTCCATGGAAAGGCATTCCAAAATGTTTGGAGTTATTCACAAGAGGACATTGACAAGCTGGTTAAAAGAGAGCTGGAAATATGTTAAGGCATGTAAACACCACTCCAGAGATACATGTAAGATATCTGCTGCCTGTAGATAGCTCCAGCTAAAAACCACATTGTCGTTTGACTTGGACATTTTGTTAAACAAGAAATCTCTCCCAAACTGTCAGACAGAACATGATGTATTTCTTTGGAAAACAACCACTTTTACTATGACAAATTATAAATAACACCACTCAGATTGGGTTTTCTCTGTTCTAAGTCCCATTTAAGGAACCCAGAACATTCATCAAAAGTAACCAGCAACCCCACACACAAGTTGCAGGAACTCATCTCATGCTCAGGAGAAAACATTGAATCTCTTCCTTTTTATTTAAAAAAATAAAATAAAAAATATTTCAATTTTTTATTTTTGCTGTGCATAGACATGTAACATTCGCTTGTGAGGTACCCAAAAAGCAATCCTCTAGCATTTCACATTTAAGTATTACATTTGGATACATGAGAGACATGCCCATTTTTGTTATTATTAAGTCTTATGCATAAAGAACGTTATGTTAATAGGTTGATTAAACAGTTGTTCATTCTAAGGTAACAATCTAACTGAGTAATACAAGCTAGGTCTAACTGTGATTTGAGATTAGGGTACGTTTGGTTAGTTTAAGCTTTCCACAAAGTATTTATGGCGGTGCGACACAAAAAGCTGCCACTGGGAGGTGTTATGGCCCACATAGATAGCCTAGAGATGTCAGAGTTATTTAAGCTAAAGCCCTTGCACAATAAAAAACAATCTGCTAAATAAGGCTCAGTAGTTGAAAACTTCAAATTATGATTATAATACAAAACAGGTGCTCAATAGATACTATCATCCTGAAGTCCCGAACCTCTCACGTCAGTCAGCCAGTTCCCTGCAGGGGTTGAGCATAGTCCTTCCAGGATAAACTCTAAGGACTGAGCGTTCAAGTTCAGCCACATGCACAGTTATTTAGGCGTGCTTATGTCCATGTATGGTGTGCCTGGGGCTGTATGGATAGTCCAGGTAGTTTTGTTTGGCCGATGCCCTTGTGTGAGGACGGTTCTAGCGGATCCGCCGATAGTGCAGCTGAGAGTTGCTTCCATGCGTCCCGGGGCTGCGGCCTGTGGGAGGCATTTGTGGGTGAGTGCCTGCTTTTAAGGAGGGTTTGCAATGTTGTCCCAGTATTTAGTAGCTGGGTTAGGTGGAGTCGTGGGTGGTCTTGGTGCTTTCCACCCAGTGGTCGCCTTGTTTTCCCTCTTCTCAGAACATGTATGTGCAGCTTGTGCTGTACTTGTCTGTGGAAGGCTGTTCGCTCCCTCAGGTAGTTGTGGGGTCTCTATGGCTGGCCCGGTTTGTCCGCCCTTATGGGGCCTCGTGGGTTCTTTGGCGTGGCACGCATGGTAATAATGGTGGGCCCTGCCATGTGTTTAGCGCTTGACTTTTGTTTTGACCCTGGGGGCTCACCTTGTTGATGTCTACCCCCGGGGGGGTGCCCCCCAGCTGTACCTGTTTGTGTTGATCGGCTTTGTGTTTGAGCTTGCGCCAGAATGTCTGGAACAGGTCATCCAGGTGCTGTTCTAGTGTTGTGTACCGCTCATCTGTCTCAAGTCCATGGGCAGCTGCCGCCATCTTAGTTCCTCGCCGTGGCACCTGTTACGGCTAATGCCCCGGAGAGTCTCTCCATGGTCCATTCCCAGGTAGGCCGAAAGCCTCGTTGCATCAGGTTGGCTGCGCAGGGTCCCGTGAGAGGCACCATTGAAGTTGGTAGCCCCTCCTGAGAAGAGGTACGGTGTGCAGTAGTCTGTGGGTTGGCGTTTTTGGGGGCTGTATCCCGGTTTTCCCCTCCAGACGCGTGAGCTCTGGCGAGGCACATCTGGGCTGCTTGCCTGCTTGGCTCCGCCCAGTTCCAGCATTTTATCCCACAATTGTTCCATGCAAAGTTATTCCAAAGTGTTTGGAGCTATTAAAAACTTAAACGGGGGGGTTAGTTAACGAAGACCAGGAAAATGCAGGAATTTTAGATAACTATTTCTCCTCCGTATTTATTAAGGAAGAACCAATGGCAATAGATGTGCAAATGATTGCTACTAAAAACTTGCAGAATAATTGTAATTGGTTAACTCAAGACAAGGTGCTGCAGCAACTTAAGAAAGTTAATATAAACAAAGCTCCAGGGCCTGACGGTATCCATCCACGAGTACTTAAGGAACTAAGTGTAGAAATAAGTGAGCCTCTGTTTTTAATCTTTCAAGATTCTTTTCTTTCAGGAAGTGTTCCGGAGGATTGGAGGAAGGCAGATGTGGTTCCTATATTCAAAAAGGGTTCAAAATCCTTGTCTGGAAATTATAGACCTGTGAGCTTAACTTCTGTGGTTGGGAAAATATTTGAAGGGTTATTAAAGGACCACTATAGTGCCAGGAAAACATACTTGTTTTCCTGGCACTATAGTGCCCTGAGGGTGCCCCCACCCTCAGGGACCCCCTGCCGCCCGGGTCTGGGGAGAGGAAAGGGGTTAAACTTACCTTTTTTCCAGCGCCAGGTGGGGAGCTCTCTACCTCCTCTCCTCCCATTCGGCTGAATGCGCACGTGCAGCAAAAGCTGCGCGCGCATTCAGCCGGTCTCATAGGAAAGCATTTACAATGAAAATCACAGTGAGAAGCACGCAAGCGCATCTAGCGGCTGTCAATGAGACAGCCACTAGAGGAATTGGAGGAAGGATTAACCCATTTGTAAACATAGCAGTTTCTCTGAAACTACTATGTTTATAAAAAAAATGGGTTAACCCTAGCTGGACCTGGCACCCAGACAACTTCATTAAGCTAAAGTGGTCTGGGTGCCTAGAGTGGTCCTTTAAGGGATAATATTCAAGAATTCCTTGAGAAGAACATGGTTATCAGCAAAAAGCAGCATGGTTTTATGAAGCATAGGTCATGTCAAACTAACTTGATTGCGTTCTACAAAGAAGTAAGTAGAAGTATAGATCAGGGTGTTGCAGTGGATGTGATCTATTTGGATTTTGCCAAGGCATTTGATACAGTTCCACACAATAGATAAGTGTTCAAACTCAAGGAAATCGGTCTAGATGAAAATGCTTGTTCTTGGGTAGAACATTGGCTTAAAAACAGAGTACAAAGAGTTGTCATTAATGGTAAATTTTGAAGCTGGACAGAGGTGGCAACTGGTGTCCCTCATGGGGCTGTTCTGGGATCCCTTCTATTTAATATGTTTATAAATGATCTTGAAGACAGCATTGAAAGTTATGTTTCAGTGTTTGCAGATGACACAAAAACTCTGTAAAATAATACAATGTGAGCAAGATATTACTGTGCTGCAGAGGGATTTAGATAGACTGGGGGACTGTGCACTCAAATGGCAGATGAAATTTAATGTTGAAGAATGCAAAGTTATGCACTTCGGCGTAAAGAATACACAAGCAACGTATACCCTTAATGGAAGCGAATTAGGGATAACAACACATGAAAAGGACTTGGAAATTGTTATAGACAACAAACTGTTATAGACAACAATGTGCAATGTCAATCAGCAGTGGCCAAGGCCAGTAAGGTATTGTCATGCATGAAAAAGGGTATTCATTCTCGGGATGAGAATATAATTTTGCATCTTTATAAATCACTGATAAGACCACATATTGAATATGCTGTGCAATTTTTGGCACCTGTTCTAAAGAAGGATATTATGGCACTAGAAAAAGTGCAGAGGCGGGTTACAAAATTAATAAAAGGAGGGAGCGGAGCCTAACCTCGGAGGAAGATGGACGTGTAATCCCGCAGCTCCCTCTCCCCTTAGCACTCAATCAGCCACCATCCACATCACCCACGGCTCCAAAACCCCTTCACACACCGCAGAAAACACGGCTACAACGATGGGAGGTGGGAAAAAGAAAAAAGAGCTACCACCATCGGTAGCAACGTTATTCCGCACTCCAGGAGAGGCGCAGAGGCCTACCCAATCCGACCACGAGGAAGACCAGGGATCGGATACAGAATGGGGCGCCCACACACCAGTACCCTCGGGCCCTCTCACCATAGGGGCCCTCCAATCGATGCTAAGAGAGGCCACAGCAGACATTAAATCCCATGTGGCTGAAGAAATCAGCAAACACCTCACAGGCCTCCGGGACGGACGTGGAAGCATTGACTACCCGCACTGATCAAACAGAGGTACGTCTGACCACCCTGGCGACAGCCTCCACAGCACAATCCCAGGAAATCTCCTACCTACCTGGCCGCCTAACCGCAATGGAGGACTCCCTAGAAGACCTAAATAATAGGTCACGTAGAAACAATATATGGATCCGGGGCCTACCAGAATCAATACCACCAGAATCCCTAATGGTAACCTTAAAAGGCATCTTCGCAAAAATGGCCCCAGAAGTACCATCACCACTACTGGAAATGGACAGGGCTCATAGGACCTTGCGCCCCCCTACTCTGAACATATCCACCCACAGAGACGTAATAATACGCCTGCATTACTTTCAAACAAAAGAGAAAATCATGCAAATAGCCAGAACCCACCCACCACAATATGCCGGTGCTCATATAACACTCTTCCAAGACCTAGCCCCTACCACCTTAAAAAAGAGGCGAGACTTGAAACCCCTCACACTAGCTCTGCAAGAAAGAGGCATCAAATACACCCCTTCAAACTCCTCATACGAAAAGACGACCAAACCCACATCCTCGCCTCTGCTGCCGAAATGGGCCCCATGGCGGACTCCCTGGGCATACAACTACTGAACCCAACCACCCTCTCCAACTACAGGGGAAGGGACAGCTCCAGAGACCAACCAAGACCACCGCGCCCAGCCAAACAGCAAAGATTCCCACAGACAACCAAGGGGACCGATGGTGGAAGACATGAGGAGGAAATACCACCCCCTCACAGACAAAACTAAAAAACCTCCCCCACACCTAACAGAAATCTAACATATATAATGCACGGATACCAACCCCACAAAAAGTGAAAACCAGCACCCTATGACTAAACTCACCCCTGAAGAATACACAAAGACTCACCTCTACCCCCCCAAAGCCTCACCAGATCCCACTGACCACCGCTGTCGCCTCCCGAATTCTCCAGCTGCAACTCCCCGACGAACCGAATAAATCGAACATCGGAGGAGAGCGGAGAGAAAAGAGAACAGAGAAAAGACAATATTACAACGCTCCACCCCCGCAATACACAAAGAAAATGAGAGAACCCAGAATACCACAACTGCAGCCTGACCACAACTAATGCAGGGAACAGGACAATATGGACATTTGGTGTTTCCCCCACCCTGCGCTCCCCGCTCTGCGATGACGGACTCCTTGCCTGGACAATACGTAATGTACCTGGACGATCAGGGCGGGGGGTGACAGAGGGAAAACAACAACCATTCAACAGCGGGGGGGGGGGACGCTCCAAAGAGAGACACGGCCATACGGTAAGCGGGGCGACCCGGACCCCCACACCACAGACATGACCAAAGGTACCCAACCGGACAAACACCTATATATTAGAAAACGAGACATAGAAGAATCCCAAATAGAAACACAAAAAAAGACACAGAGGATTCCACACGACCCTAGACCCATAACATAAATGGGAAGGCAACGAAAGGGGAGAACACACACTGCAAGGGGGAGGGAGAGGGACAACCATGGCAACTACATAGGAATACGAAACATACACCTGCACCCGGTAACAGGGAACATGAAGGGCGCAAGAACGACACGAATAGACTTAGGTATACAATTGGCAACTACAACTGACTGAATGAATAGCCCCAAAGAGACTCGAAGGGCACAAGCAAGGGTGCTACAACACATATCAGAAATGTTTATGATTATGTACCTGTATATATGTTGATTTCTACTGTTTTTCCAGATGAATCCTCTTCGCAGGATACACACCACACACCAACACCAGCCGACAAAGAACACTCATCAGACCACCGAACTTCAGACCGCAAATCCAACACCGAGAAACACAGACAACGACTACTCGACTGACAAACACCGTGTTACCGAGTGATACACCACACCCAGTGCACGGGGCGGGGGAGAAACGGAGATGTGAAAAACCAACCATACCTGGCAAGCTCACAGTAAGACCAGGGCAAACACCCACACACCCCCCCACACCCTACTACCCCCACCCTATCCACCAAAACCTCACCCCAAGGACAGCCCGCACACCTAAAAGGGGTAACTCCAACCCCAAATCCTTCACTACCAAACCCACACCCCAACCCACACGGACCACCAGAGATGAGAAAACTAAAATGCATCTCCCTTAACTGCAAGGGCTTAAACAACCCTACTAAACGCCATCAATTAATGCGATGGACCAACAGAACAGGAGCCGACATAATATTCCTCCAGGAAACCCACTTCGATGCAGCAAGACCGTTCCCGCTCAAAAACAGACATTACAAGGAATATCATCTAGCAAACTCCCCAAACGGAAAAAGAAATGGAGTTGCGATACTAATTCGCAACACATGCCCCATTAGCTTTAAACAAACCACTGCTGACCCCCAGGGCAGATACCTAACAATAGCGGGCCACCATGGTACACACAAGTATGCACTAACAACTATCTATGCCCCCAATGTCCCAGAC